GTATAGCCTTTTATCCAAGATGTGCTTTAAGCCGATTCACTTGATCATCAGGACCCACTTTGACAGTATATATCCACTTGCAACCAACAACAAATTTACCTGAAGGAAGAGGAATGAGGTCCCAAGTACACATTTCAGCAAGCATTACTTGACGCCAAGCAAGATGTGAGAGCGCTTCTGCTGTATTTTTAGGAATAGAAACAGAGGACAAAAAAAAAAACACATATATTAGAAAGAAGATAGACGATGATATGATAAAGCAACATAATGAGGAGAGGGGTTAGGAGTGGAATGTATACCTTTTCGAAGTGTAATAGGGGATTAGTGTCAGGTGATAGGGCCAGAGGAGGGACATGTGTTGGAATCGGCAGAGGGTCACATGGTATGTCAACAGGACATAGATGGCCGACGATGGTACACTTGTAACGGACGTAGAGGAGGGTCGTCAATAGGAGGTGTAACCTCTTGTGGGTGAAAAACAATCAGAATTGGTGGTGAAGATATGATAGACTTTGGTTCTAACTCAAACACTGTAGGAAAACTAAAAAAAGGAACAAACTCAAAGAAAGTAACATCAGCAAATATAAATATTTAAGAGTTGGAGAGTAACACTTATAACTCTTTTGAGAACGACTATAACTAAGAAAAATACATTTGTGGGCACGAGGAGAGAGTTTGTCAGTACTTGGACTAAGATTATGGGCAAAGCATGTGGACCCAAACCCACGGAGAGGTATAGGATGCAAAGGCTGTTTAGGAAACAAGATAGAGTGTGGTACCTGATTATGGGGAACAGAAGAAAGCAACCAATTGATAGCAAGCTATCAAGATGGCATCTTCCCAAAAACGATGTGAGACACAACTATGTAAGAATAGAGTGCGAGTAGTTTCAACAAAGTGTCTGTTTTTACTTTCAACAACCCCGTTTTATTGAGGAATATGAGCACAAGAAGTTTGATGAAGTATGCCATTAGACGCCATGAAATTTTGAAAGGAATGTGACAAGTATTCCTTAGCATTATCACTACGCAAAGTGCGAATTGGAAGATCAAATTAAACTTTAATTTTATTAAAAAAAATTTGAAAAACAAAAAATAATTCAGAACGATCTTTCATTAAAAATAACCATGTGTAATAAGAATAATCATCAATAAAAGTAACAATACCTAAAACCTAAGTAAAAACAGTACAACTAGGACCCAAAACATTAGAATGAACCAAACTAAAAGGAGATGTGACTTGTTTATTTTGACGACTCAGAAAGGAACTATGGACATGTTTTCCTAGTTGACACGACTCACAAAAAAGTGTAGATAACTGAGAGAGACTTGACACCAATAGTTGTAGTTTCTAAAGACTCGGATGTCCTAACCTAGCATGCGAAAGAAGAGGGGAATTCGCTGCTAAACCAGCATGTGTGAGGGGTTGGAGTTGATAAAGTTCATGTGACTTATAGTCGGTGCTGGAGAAAAACATAATCTTTAGTAAAGGAGACAAGACAATTAAGTGTGCGAGTGAGCCGACTTATAGATAAAAGATTAAAAGGAGACCCAGGAACATATGAGACATTGTCGATAGATAATGATGGAAGAAGAGAGACATTGCCAACACCTTGAGATTTTGTTTGAGACCCATTGGCCATAGTAACAAAAGTTAAGTACCTAGATGTAGAGAGAGGAAAAGAAGAATTTGTTACCAGTAACATGATTAGTGACACCTGAATCAAGCACCCATGGACCAAGAGATGGGGAATGAGAATTACCAACAAAAGAATTACCTGTGTACATAATAGAAGCAGGGGAACTAGAGGCCTGACAATCCGCATACTAACAAAGGAAATCGTTGAACAGTGTTGGTGGGATGTTGGGAGGAGCAGGAGTCGCCATGGGTCAACCTTGAAGAGAGAAACACAACTAAATAGTGATAAAACAAGGTAAACAGTAGCGGTGGTAGTGAAAAGCAAGTAAAAAAAAGTTACGCCGAAAAAATCACTGGCAGTGTGAACAGTGCTGCCAGAAAAGTTGCCGGTAAATGAATAGTTCTCTGCATTCTGCTTCTATATTAAATCTTGCCACCACATTTTGCTTCTTACTATTTCAAGATATCAAATTACCTCCCAACAATACACAATATCCCGTGGTGGATTTTCCTTCCATAGAAGATCATGTCCAATCTGTAAATGTCCATGATCTTGGTACACAATTCTCTTTCCTAAAGCTTTCTTCAAATGCTTAAGTTTAACAATGTGGATTAGTGCTTCACAATGAGTGTTAGTTGGAGAAGACATAAATTGACTTTTAAGACTTACAAGAAAAGCACTATACGGTCTAGTAACAATTAGATAATTCAGCTTCCCCGCCAATCTTCTATATTTTTTAGGGTCAGACAAAGGAACTCTTCTACTGTCACCTTAACCCCTGGCTCCATAGGGGTCTCACATGGTTTCACTCCCATTAGATCAATCTCAGCCAATAGGTCCAAAACATATTTCCTTTGTGGAAGGAAGATTCCCTTCTTTGAATAACATCAATGCCCAAGAAGTACTACTTCAATTCAAAGTTCCCAAGTCTTTAGGTATGAAACTTTGTCTGTAGAAAAATATTAAATTTGTTAATTTCTTCACTATCAATTCCAGTAATTACAATATCATCACATATCACAAGTAAAATGTTTTTTTAAACAATGCACTAAGGCAATTGTTCCACCTACACCTCTTCTTGTAAGGAGGCATTCTGCACTTTTACTTGAAACAAAAGCCAGTAATGAATGGCAGCAAGAGATAAGAATACACGCAGATGAAAGTTTAGAAATAGGGGAAATTTTCACCATAGTCAACTCCATATATCTGGGAAGCACCTTGGCAACTAGTCATGCTTCTAAGCAAGCCACAAAACTGTCAGAATTCACCTTGACAAAGAAATTCACTAGAATCCAATAGCCTGCCTCCCCGTGGGAGAACCAAATCCCAAGTTTCATTTTTCTCAAGAGCCATCATTTTCTCCTTATAGCCTATCTCTAGCCATCATGAATTATTGCATTTTAGAGAGATTTAGGAATCAAATTCAAATCTATGCTAGCAACAAAGGACTTAGAAATAGAGGAAAAATGAGCAGAAGTCCCATAAAAGGAAAATAGGAAAGTACAAGTACACTTACCTTTACATGAGGCTATTGGAAGATTGTCATTAGGACTTTAGGAGGATCTGCAGGCACCAGAGGAGGTAGGGGTTGAGTATCTTCTGGAGGTGCATCACTAGAAACCTGTTTGGAACAATGAGAACATGTTCGCTCAAAGAACTTAAACTGATATCACTAGGAGGCAAAGGAGCAGAGTGGATATCGTTATAAGTTAAGAAAGAATCATTGATGTGCCCCAAGCGTTACATGGGCCTAAGGAGATGCCGATCCAGGAAGGAATTACAGGCCCAAAACCATGGTTGGTGTATGTGCATAAAAGGAAGAAGGGCATGAAGAATGTGAAGGAGAGAATCTGAGGTGGCAAGTTAGTTAGAGGAGAAAGAGAGAGTTTTCTGTTATAGAGGGCCTGTGAATGATGTGACGGGCACTTTTTGCATTTTAGGCTTTTGCTGTTAATATGGAGAGCCATTAGGTTTCTCCTTTGGAGTTTGCTCTGGGACAGAAGAGAGAGACCCTGCCTCTGTATTTCATTTTCCAAATTATCAATATAATCAATTTCTTCTGTTGTTCATCCTTCTATTTGTCTATATTTCCTTTTCTGGTTGTTTGGTTTGCAACAATCATCCAACTACCACACAGGCTAAGAAGATTGAAACTAGGAAAAGAAATATGGTCTTATAAAAGGACACATCAGTAGAAACAACATAGAAATGAAGTTATAGAGAGAAGCAGTGATACCTTTTTTGAGTATGAAAGTAACCTAAGACACACGTCAAGGACTTCAGGCCCAACTTAGTTACCTATGATAGAACACCAATCCAAAACTTTAAAGGTATGTTTGGGAGAGAATTGTTCGAGGGGAAGAGAGGGGAGGACATATTTTTTAATTTAAAATTAAGAGAATTATATATCATTTAGGATAATAAATGCATGATTAATACATTAAGTTTATGTTAATATATCAATTTATATATTTTATTTTGAAAAATATTAATTTAAGTATATTTATTTAAAAAAATTCCCTTCCCTTCCTTACCCTCTCCTCCAAAACCTCCCTTTCCAAACAACACCTAAAGTGTTAGGTATATAGGTCTTTTTCACTTATATGCTTCTCAACTTCTCCATTCTTATCCGATGCCAAATTTCTTCATCTATATATGTTACATCAAAATCTCCTCCTCAGGTATGAGTCCCTTCCATTAGATATACTCCCCCTCCAACGAAAGCCTTTTAACCCATGAGTATTCATGTGGCACGAGAGACAAGAGCATCAGTACTCTTTTGTAACTTGTACCTCCATGAGCTACCATCAATGAGACACATTGCCTGACCTCTGCATTATCAAGAAGACTTTGGATACAAGGGATTCACACATGGAGCCACCACCGATTCCATTACACAATACTCATTTGAGCTGATCACCTGGACACACCATTGGCTCTAATACCGTGTAAAGAAGAGAGAGAGAGAGTGCGTAGAGAGAGATGTGATAAAATTGTAATAGGATATACTACAAAGTATTGCGACCCCAATATTTATATTACTAGGTTAAGTGGATAGTTAACTAGTGGGCCAAGCCCATATGCTCAATACTAAACTATATTAACCTTTAATATAATAACTCTTAACAAAGAAAATTCTCATTATCTGTGAGGGAATTCTTTGTGCTCTCTTCTTTATGTATTATTTTTGTGATGCTGCAGCATCAATAGTTGAACAATGGAATTTACACTCTTATCAAGAGTATGGAAGCACACATGAAAGTTGTTTATTTGAGGCAACATGAATAATTTCTTGAATTTTAATAGATTGGACAGTGTTTGATGTCTACTCTTCCTAATATATCAAATCCGTGTTATCCAGGAAAACAAAGATATTTTGGGAGATGGTTACGAAGGTGATGTTCTTGGGGAATCCACACCAGATGTTATAGTCAGTGAATTTGTACGTTGCATTTTTCTAACTTCCTATTAAATGTTTATTCTGTCCTTATCCACAAATTTACGTATAGCCACATATTTTGATTTCACATGCATATTAACGAGTTACATTGCTAATAGATATTAAGGGGGTCATTTGTTTGTGCTATATTTATGGAAAAAAAAAAAAATTAAAAAAGCATGTAAAATTTTTTATGATAATTGGATAAGTTAAAAAAAAAAAACAAAAAAATATCAATCCTAGAGATTTTAATGTTCTTCTCAATAGCTAGAAAGTAATTTTGTACAGAAAAATAAATTCATAAAAATTGACTTTTTTTCAAAACTTACCCAAATGCACCCTAATAGGCTAGCACGGATATGACCTCGTTCATTTCACCCACCTCACTTTCTGTTGAGGTTAAATAAAAATTGATAATTCCTAAAAGTTGATATTTCGTTCTATCTGATTGTAGACTAGATTTATTTAGAGGTTAAAAAATAATCCCTAATTTCGTACTAGTATTTCTTGGACTTGGAGTACACTGACTAGTTTTCTACTTTTAGAATATATTGTTTGGTAAACCCCTCACTGAATGAGTTAGTTGGAATAAGTTAGTTTGGGATAGATAGAAAGGTGGGATATGACAGTGTATAAAAGTGATCAGAGGAAAGTAAGAGGGAAGTTTTGTGTTTGGTTATTTGATTTTGTTTGGTGGGGTAGAATCAGGCTTTTGAATTCCCAAGAAGAGTGCTGTAAACACCATTTATTCCTTGTTGACTATTAGGAATAGACTAGGCCTAACTCAACCCTAAAAGCTAACTCAAGAGGGAGGATTGTTCAAGCCTTGTAATAATTCTAGCCATATTCCTAGCCACTGTGAGATAGACAACACACATCCCTCACACCTAATTGGACTTGGTAGAGTGTGTAGTTGGCAAGATTGGACATTTATGGGTGGCCTAACATTGGGACTAGATAGGATATAATATCATGTTGGCCTAACTCAACTTCAAATGTTGGCTTATGGGGGAAGGATTAGCCAAGTTCTATAGAGTATTTTGGTCGTACTCTTCGCCAGTGTGAAACATCATAAAATTGACCTCTGATGCTCCACAGATCTAGACTTGAAGAAGTTATTCTTAATAAAATTTCCATCATTTCTTTTTAATGTTTCCTGATCTCTGATTCATAATGTAACTTAGTCTATGCTTGTTTAAATTTTGTTTATTTAAGATGTTACATATGTTTCTGGTTTTCTTTTTTGGGTGTTGCAAAGGAGGCTAAAGATCCTTGATAACAAGAATTTAATTAAGAAAGTAAAAAATACCTGTCAGATATGTTGGCATGGACATGGTGACTTATTCCTCCTTAAATTTTCAAGTTAAACTTAGCCAGGGATGAAAGCAATGGGCTCCCAAGCTTTAAAACTCACCATAAAAATTTTGTAATGCTTCAATTTTTTTTAGTTTAATAATTTGGCCTCCTCAAACAGGTGCCAAAACAGTTTTGGCACCTGGCAACTATAAATCCTGGCTATGCTCCTGTTTGGAGTTAGGAGAGATGGAAGGGAAAGTTAGTAGGGTAGTTATTATAGTTACTTAGTGGAAGGGATTAGTTAGATAGAGGGGGTTTGTGAGGTAAATTAAGAAGATGATATAAGGAAACGGCATTTAGAACTGCTATCATGTGTAAATATTAGCTTTTTGTGAATGAAGGAAAACTTTGTGATGGGGAAACCCTTGGAGGAGAGTTCCCTTTCCTATTTTCTGTACTTTCCAAGTTAGTCAAAATCGGAATTTTACTTCAAATTGTTAAGGGAAGTAAAAATCGTAAATCGAGTCGTAAGATTATATATACATGAATGTAAGTTCATATTCTGCAGCTGAAATTAAAAAAAATATATTAAATCACTAAAAGTACTTAGATAATCCATATTCCATAAGAAAACTAAGAAGCATAATCTATAATGTAACAAGTTAACAACTTACAATAGGCAAATCACCATGTTTTTGGTAAATTACAAAGCATAAACACCAAAATTAAATAAGAACTACTAACTAGTAATATTCTAAGATGTCTAATTCAACAATTGTGCCACATTAAAATCATAAACATCCACCATATTTGTATTCATCTTCATCTCCATCAACTTCATAATGCAAATTCAGCATATCAACATCATTCTCAACAGCATTGTTTTCATCTTGGTTTTGGGCTAAGTTCTCATCTCCATCCAAGTCCAAATTATGTGCATCCAAATCCAACCCTTTAATATCTAACCCTTCAGTATCTCCAACATCATTTTCTGCAATCCACTCATCATTAGATGAAACATCATCAAGGTCTAACTCGTAAGCTCTCCTAAGTTGCTTTTTTTTTACTAATTTTGAATTAGCCATGACAAAGACAACATCATTCATTGTCTTTTGCTTCAAGTGATTTCACCTCTTAGTATGGACCTAAACACATTCAAGGTAGGCTTGTAGATAATTGAAAACTTTACTAAAAATCTTACCATCTCAAATGCACTCCAATTACGTTTACATCCAGATGAACTACATGTTAAATTTAATGCACTAATGACAAACTTTTGAAGTGCTAGATGTTCATCTTCATACGACTCCCACAAATTAGTTGGGGTCTTCTTTTGAAGTGTTGCTCTAGCTAAGGGGCTACTGAAAAACATTTGCTTTTTCTTGAAATCATCAATTTTGGCCTGTTCCTCAATATCGGGTACTATCCTTGTCATACAATCATATAGTCCTCGTTGAAATTCAAGATCAACTTTAAATGCAGGACTATAATGTAATTGAGGGTTGAGAAAATAGCCAGCAACATGTAAAGGCCTATGAAGTTGTTTGTTCCATCTATTATCTATGATATTTCATAGGGGCATGTAACTAAAAAATAAATCAAATGGGTTAATTTTCTAAATTTTAATTTTAATTAAATTTGATAGATAATCAATTACCTCTTCTTGACACCTTGAAAGCTATATGGATAGCTTCTTAGCTTGGTCCATTGCCTCATAAACAAAGCCCATGGCGGGCTTCTCATATGAATCAACCAAACGAAGGATATGCACCCTTTAAACAAATTAGAACATTCTTCCAAAACACATTGTCCAAAACAACTTCCTCTACCAATTTTCTCTCTCTTGTCCTAGGAAACTTACTGGACTTCCATTCGTCACACAAGAACATTCTTAAAAGAGCTCCTTTGTTCTCATGAAAGCATCCCAAAGTTAAATATGAAGTGGCAATTCGAGTGATACCTGCTCTCGTCAAATCTTTTCCTTATGTGAAGCGTTGTAATAATGAAATGAGAAAAGTCCTTGAATAAATATAAGTTGTGATTTTTCTGCCCTTTGGAATTGTTTCCTCATGAAGGGGTATCTTTTTCTCAAAATCTTCAAGCATTAAATCAATGTAGTATGCAACACAAGGAGTCCATTATAAATTCTTCCTTTTCTCCATCAACATCTCTCCAGCAGCTTTATAATTTGCTGCATTATCAGTGTTACAATTTGCTTTACGTTTTTCTCACCAACCTCTTCCACAAATTCATCAAGCATCTTAAATATTTTATCAGCTGTTTTGGTGATGTGCGAAGCATCAATTGACTTAAAAAATACTGTACTTCTTGGGCTTTTCACTAAGAAATTCAGAATGGTGGTTCTCCTTTTGTCAGTCCACCCATCGGTCATTATTGTGCAACCAACACTCTTCCAAACAGCCTTATGTTCTTCAGTAAGTTCCATTGTCATCTTCACTTCTTGCTTCAAATACTTCACTCTAATCTCATGATAATAGGGTGGCTTAAATCTTGGACCGTGTTGTGCAATTAACTCACATGGCAGGAAATTCTTCACTTCTTGCCACATTGAAAGCTATGGCATTGTTGTAGAAAAATCTTGCAATTGCTTGACATGCATCCTCTCTTATACCCTTTTTGAATATTCTGTTTATTGTAGCATGTGAACCTACACCCCTCCTTGCAAAACTGTCCAATCCCAGCACTCTCAACTTCAGCACTTTCAATAGCTTTTCTCTTTTCACCAATTTCCAAAGAGTCATTTCTGTTAGTTGCTTTTTTCATCAAGGAAGTAATAATCTCCACCATCTCCTTATTCACGTCAATAGGAACAGATTTGTGAGCTTCAACATTTTGATTTGTTTTAGCCAAGTGGTGTTTTAGGCGATAAATCCCTCCATTTAGTATCTTTTGGCAGAATTTGCATTGAACCTTCACAGTTCCTTGAACTGAAAATCTATACTTACATCCCACATCACCCTTGTTTCCATGGGCATTTTGGGGAACCAACCTTTGAGGCACGCTTGAAGTGCCCATAGCAATGGAGCTGTTAGTTGCAGTTGGGAGTGACCCAAAAACGCCACCCCCTAAGCTTTGACCATTAGCCATGTTTGAAGCCATCCTCGAACAAGATGAAAAAAAACAGAGGAAGAAGGAAAAAAACTAAGTTGTTGTCACCTGGTCTGGACAGTTTAGGGTTCCACGAAGAAACCAGAGAAAGATGAAAAAAAAAAAAAAAAAAAAAAACAGAGGAAGAGGAAAAAAAACTGTTGCCTGGTCTGGTCTGTTTAGGTTGCACGAAGAAACTAGAGAAAGATAAGAAAAAAATAGCTAATGAGTAGGTTGGGGCAGAGAAATTGTGAAGAAGAGAAGACATCTTTTGGTAACAGTGCACACGAAGTCGTTCTTAACAGGTCTAGGGCTCGACGAAGAAGAGAAGAACGCGGGACTTCCTTCACGCCTAATTAAATGAATTTGGGCTGAAATCCAGATTCAACCCACATTTTTCTGAAATCGGCAGCAAATTGGGATTTTACTGCTTTCACGATCCAAATCGCGATTTCACTACGATTTCACCTTGCTCTGATTTTTGTTGCGCTTTGAATCGTTTAGCTGGGATAAACTTACAATGCATATCTCTATCGTACTTCAATTCTAAGTGAAAATTCCTAAATTCTAAAGTCTCTTCCATAACTCTAGTTTAAAATTAACTTCTTCTTTCGAATCTTCAACCAACAAAATGTCATCCACAAAAAGCATGCACTTAGGCGATAATCTTTTGTATGTCACTTTTAAGCACATTTAAGACTAGATTAAACAAGTAAGGGCTTAAAGCGGAGCCTTGATGTAAAACTATCCTTGATGAGAAGTCCTTAAAATATACCTCCAAAAATTTTCACACACATAACTACCCCTCCGTACATGTTTTGTATATTCCGAAAATATACTATATAGAACCCTTTCTGTTTTACAATCTTCCATAACACTCCTCTTAGTACTCGATCATCTCTTTTAAGTCAGTAAAAATCATATATAAATCCTTTGCTTTTTAGAGATATTTTTCCATCATCTTTCATAAAAAACATATAGCTTATGCTGTAGACCTTAACATAAAACTAAATTTCAATCACCTTTTCTCACAACTTCATAGTGTAACTAATAAGTTTCATTCCTCTTTGGCTGTGTATAATCCATATAAAAGGTTTTGACAAGTTTTACATTGACTGTCAAAGGCTACACAACCCTCTTTGACTCTTCCTTTACCTAGGCTTGGGACTGGCTATGGGGCTATACTGCTATAGGCAGAGTCTGGTTCCAACAAGAGATGGCATTCTTGAAGGGGCTAACGATCTATTTGAAAATACAAATGACCAGCTTTGAGTTCTTCTCTTCCACATTCTGGGAGGCCTTGAACATAGTCATCACCATTTGATTTAGGGTTCTTTGGCTTTCTTTATTTTTGATCTTATCTTGGGAGTTCCAAATTCTTGAAGGAGATCTTTCTCATTTATAATAGTTCATTCTTCGATAAAAAAAGGTGGAGTTATCTACCTGTGGCAACTGCACACTGGTAGAAACAAAAGGGGAACACCTTATGTGTTAGATCAAGAACCAGAAACTCAAGACTACAATGAAGTGTTGGACAAGATCAAGCCAAGGAGGTCATTAGAATCCTTGAAGGTTGAGAAGGGACTCGTTTTCTTGGAGCAAGAGCCAGTGAGCCCACTGCCATGTTTAGAACCGCTGAAAGCAGAATCTTCTGTGAAGGTAGACATTGTTGTCAAAGGCAGTAGAAATGGGGGAGCTAGTTGTTGAAGACCAAGATTCAGTGAAAGTCGTTGTGGTTGAGAAGATGATGGGGAGATCATGGCAAATGTCAAAGGTGTAATTGCAGAAATCGACTTGTGTTTTCAAAACCCAAATTTGATTGAGATGATAACTGAAGGAAGGATCTTGTTACCATGAGACAAAAGTTTCCTCAATCGAGGCCATGTTTTGGTGTCAATAGAAGGGCTGAGATGGAGAAAGATCCATGCACAGTGAACAAAGATGGATGGAAAGACCATTTGATGCGCAAAAGATTTTGGGTCTTGAGAAAGCAGGTCAGTCTAACGCTACTGCCCCAAAAACCGTGAGGTGGGAATTTTTTTACTACAATAATCAGAACAAAGTGCAAATGCGATTTGATTGCAAATCAAGTCAAGTTCTGGCGGGAAACCCGCAAGAACAAGTACACATGAAAAACTTGTTGCACTGGACAGCATGATTTGTTGCATCACTACGAAATGGCATGAGGGTATCAAAATCAGCAATTAAATGATCAAGCTTACCAAGATAAGTTTGCATATCCATGTTTTCCAGCTTCGTAGAAATTAGGTTGGAAACCACTGTAGACAATGAATGTCATTGGAATGCACAACTTTTGTCTAGACACAAGGAAGCGCCAATTTGTTTGGGAATATCTTTGGCCTGCAGAGCCCAAATTGGTCTTAACAGTAGGGTTCATGAAGGACGGGTGTTAGGGACCAAAAATTAGACTGCAGAATTGATTGAAAAATCTGGGAATGATTGTATATTATTTAATGTAAAAAAAAGCAATACAAGGGGAAAAAACAACCCCACTGCCACAGACCACAGCTCCTTTGGAGAGACTACAGCCCTCTGCTCATAACAGAATTTTCCTGTAAAAAACCAGCCACCTCTCTCTCCCCTACTCATTCCCTATATACACAAAATCTTCATTCCCCACTGTTTGACAATTCTGTTACAACTCCTGTCATGTCATCTTCTCTATCCTTAACCCAGTTTCTCCTAACATACACTCTCCATATCTTGGGCCTTTCCTTACGGTCCAAAGCCTACATGTCCACTCCTATCAAGGCGGAAGACTTGTTTCAAGGGCACACGTTGGACCATATGTCGGTTCAGACTTCATCTTACTACTAGAGGTTTTTAGGCCTAACAATCTGCCAATATCCCATTTCGTGTTACAGCAGCCTGTTCACCAAAGCTCAAAATCCCACATCCCCTGTTTTGTGCACCTAAACAGAGCTCAGTTCTACCATAATTCCAAAAGGTCAAGGTTGAAATTCAAAGTGATGGTATTGTTAGGAGTTAAGAGAGGGAAGTAAAAGTTAGTTAATATAGTTATTGTTATTACTTAGTGGAGGGGATAAGTTGGTTATAGGGGGTTTGTGGGGTAAAAAACTAAGATGAAGATGTAAGGGAGAACTGTTATCATTTGAAAATTGACCATTGGCTCTTTGTGACGGGAAAACTCTTGGATCCCTCTCCTATTTTTTGTTCTTTCCATTCAATTCAATTCAATAAGATCTTTCTTTTCTTTCCCATTTATATTCTCTGTCCCTAACCGCCACTGTAATAGCATAAATCTAGTCTTAAGGTTTGATAGATATTGACAGTATTAAAGTATTATATTCTTCTCAATCTATTAAACTTCTCTATTTTAATTGTCCTGTTGACATATTCTTCCTTTTAAATTGGTCTTTCTTTTTCTATATTATTCACCATTCCTGACTTTGATGTATCCAGTTGAAGGGTGAGAAGGAGCTTATTGAGAAGTTATTACAGACTGAAATAAATATATTCCGCTCAATCAGAGATGGAAGTGCTCTAATGCAGCACATGGAGGATTTTTATTACATCACGCTACTTGAGGTATAGTGCATTCTCTTAAAATATTCAATGTATTACTTGTTTCATTCTTCCATTCTGTTATTATGATTCTTATCTGGTTTTACTGTAGTTTAGTTTACTTGGGAAAAACAACAATGACTTTGGGGGAAGATTACTAATTAAGTAGCTCGGATTATTATGAATATAAGCATTGATAATGAGAATATTAAAAGAATGAATTATACGAATTGAAAATTTTGTCATTTACTGCGTTATTTCTTTGAGAAAATAAATTTCTCAAGAACTAAAAAATGCCTTTTGTTGATATTCTTTCTGGCCTTCTCAAAATCATCCATCATTGAGTTTAGGTTTATGAAGAACTCCTTGCGATACGTATGTCAATAATATATATATCTTGAATACCACCTAATATGTTATGCTTGTTCATTGTAAATATATGTTAACGTTAATATAGTACAGCTCGATAGTTCATTGTTGGTTATATTGCCCCTCTTTAGATATGGAAATATATAAGTTTTATCACATAAATTTGTGGGAAGGAGGTTGGGCCGGCCTCTTCATCCCCATTTTCTTCTTCACTTCTGTTTCTGAGAATGGATAATCAAAGAAACTTTGAAATGGATGTTAGTCCTCCAATGATACTAGTTAGTAGTGACATCAATTTAGTCCTCAAGAAAGTTAACATTAATTTAGTTCTTCTATAATGAAAAATGGCATCAAAATTTTCCTTTTGTTTTGGGCCTTACAGATGTTAATAAAACATTTTATTGAGAGGCTAAATTGATGTTAAATGTTCTTTGGAGAACCAAATTAATGTCATTTTCTATGATTAAGGATCAAATTGATGTTCAACTTTGTTAAGAGGACCAAATTAAGGTCACTTGTATTTCAAGGTGTCTAAAATAGTTATTTCCTCCTATTTTAATGTGCCATCATGCAATTGACATTTCTTATATAATTAATTCAGTCATCTTTCATTTTCTTTCTTTTTGAAACTAATGTTTGGCACTACGTTATTATTTCATTAAATCAGAATGTAAAATCAAATTACCAAGCTGTCTCAAGATCAGACCAGGGTGAAAACTATAGCTTATAATGAGCCAACAAAGTTATGTGTTACCCTACTAGAAGAATTCTAAATACAATTGTAGATAAGGTGTTGAGAAGAGCATATATATATTGGAGGTCACTTACAACCACATCTTTACTGGTATGGTAAGTCACCCCGTACACTGTTAGCTTTTAAACATACACTTTGTTTGCCTTTTAGTAAGGTCAAAGCTTCAACGGCACCTTTTCATTGGATTGCAATAGTAATATGAAAAGTAAAATTGCTTTTCTGCTTCTCGTATCTGTTGGTTACTGACTGAACCTTATTCGTACACAATTCACTAAACTCCACTATATTTACACTGAATGACTGAATTATAAACTGCAGCTTTATTGGTAGGCATTATGACTTTGACAGATAAATCATATCTATGATCACCTCATATCCCAGATTTCCTTTCTGAAACTAGTGTAACATGCTCCTATGGAACTGATTTTGCTTCTTTTTTTCATTTTGTTTAGTGAAGTTTTAAATTTTTGAAAAGCCATTTTCCAGAACTTTTTAAGGTAGACGAGAGTAAAACTTATCTATCCTTTTCATCGCCAAGGAAAGAACTTGAATGTGGCTACTTGTTAAAAATTCTTTGGAAGAACATTTTCTGTTTTATTTATAAAACCTTCATGTATTGGCAGCGAGGAAAATGGCAGCCATGCAGTACTTCCAGTATAGTTTACAAATGGAGCTGATAGACGTGGGAGCTGCTAGAGACTGCAAGTGGAAAAAATATCTATCAAAATTTATAGTTTTAATATTTTAGTCATTTTCCTTATGATGATAGAAATTGATGCTATTATAGCATGCATATCAAATATTCAAAGATACACTTGTCTTAGAAATGCAATGTGTCATGTCTAATCCGTTTTCCGATGTCAAGCATTTATAGTCTCATACAGAATGTTGTAAATATGCTTAATAATGTTTGAAGAATCAGGCATTGTTGTTACTGATATTATTGTTATTGTTGAGATGCACCTTTGCAGGGTGCGGGGGAAGAGGAAAGTTTCCAGCAATTGCAAGAGGATGATATGTGTTGCTGGCATTTATTTCCTAAAGAAGAAAAAGATAGATGGAAAACACTGATTTTGCTTTGTTCAACTGTTTAATTTAACCAAATGAAACCGTAAAAAAAATCAATTTTTTTAAGTCAATATATACACTAATGGTTCCTTTTTACAACGTTTGGTTACTTATTTAGAAATGCAGACCAGTAAACCAAAATTACCCTTGTCGGTCTAGTGGAACCCTGCAATGAATCTACATCATCTTCACACTATTTCTATTCATGAGGCTTCAAAAACTAAACAAAACCCTTAATATTTTATGGTGAATGCTGTGGTGTGCTAACATTTTAGGAAGCATTCAATGCCCCTCTTAAGTATGCATCCACGTCGTTTGACAACAATAAATATAAGATATTTAATCTTAATATTACAGAACGGTTTCATGTTTAAACTTAATTGGGTTTCATTCCTACTAGTCTGGCCCTGTCTTCAATCCTTGTAACTGGTTGCTTTGCTTCTCACTTAGTATTCATGTCTCTAATTGTATATTCTAATAGTCCTCACGTTTTCTTTGTCTTCACATTGGGTGTCGTCCGTTAAACAGAATGCCGCCTCCATGATTTGTCAAAGTTCCATTTTCACTTAAAAATGCAGGAAAAAGGTTAAGTAAAGAAATTGTAAAAGGGCTTAAACGTTTTAAAATGAGTATTAGAATCTTGAGGGACCAGTTTACAATAGATAAATTTATAATAAAATTTAATATTAAACACATTTATTTTTGTCTTTTTCTTGTTTTTTAGTCTTGACATTTATTTTTGTACTGATGGTAAAATGTTCACGGCAAATTAGAATTCACCACAAACGTGCAAGGCACCTTAAAATTCACCAGATTTTATTATAAAAACTAAAATTTAACGACTTTGTTAATTTTTTTAAGACATTAACATTCATTACTTTTAAAAATAATAAATATTGTAATATTTATTTATTTAATCAGTTGTACCATATTTTCCTTTAAAAAAAAAGACAAATAAGAAGTTTAAAGTTTTAAAAATTGAATAGTTAGAAGGAATAATTTAAAAATCATAAGGATAAAAATGACAAAATTACTTAAAAATAATAAGGATAAAAATGACAAAATTATTTTAACTAATAACTAAAAAAATACTAGTAGTAGCGTTAAAAAAATGATAATAGCTTTTCATTTAATAAAATAAACTTTTGAATTCAACCTAGCTACAAAGCAGTCAAACACTGTTATGCAAAATTATTGTCCCTACATCTCATCACTCATTTATTTTCCAAGAGGATTAAAAAAAACTATCTAACACATTTATTTTAATAGTCTTTCAATTATTAATTAAAATTTATAATAAACTCAAAAAAGGGTAAAATACATCAAAGTAAGAGTAAAACTAAAATAAATTTTATAATTTTTAATAAATTTCAGTTCTTAAAGAGTATGTCACATTTCACCTTACTTATTAACCATCAGACAGTCATGACAAAATGTATCAACACACAATGTCTAATCAAATACACGAAAAAGAAATCACCTGAAATTCCAGTACATAAAATTCAAGATATCAAAAACCTTGACCTCACTACACCTTCACTCACATGCATTTTCACCCAGTCAAAACAATAGATACCCAGTGAAGCAAAATCAAAACGTGATGTCACATAACCTGTGATTTGAAACAAATAGTCCCTCTAACTTTGTATGTAATGAAAGTTCCATTTGAAATGACACAAGCCAATTCCATTAGTAATTGAAACTTCTCATCTGCTAGAATGCTTTCTTGGGACATCAAATTGTAACTATGCTAAAAAATAATCAGCAACATACCCAGTAATTGCAGCTATAGATGCTTACTTCATGAACCAAGGTTAATGTTCAAAAAAGAAAACTACCCATCCCATTAAACAAATAGAAGTTCAATTATACAGCTAGAACAAGCATCCTTCACTGGCTCCATGTTTAACAGTAACTCAGCTCAAACATGAATCATTCACGTAAAAGTGTATCTTTATTTGATTTAACATAAACGTTCAATCTTTACTTACTCACTTTAAAGCCAATCAAAGAACTATTTCCCAGCTAGATAATTCTTTGCCATTAAAACATAAGAATCACGTGTACAAGACTTGCACAAGTAGCTAACAGTAGCATCATCAGAGACAAAAAAAAAAAAAAACTTCGCATAACAAATCACACAAATTAAAATAACCCATAAAAGAAATTGTAGAAAATAGGGCGATTTATCATCATATTAACACGAAAAACCCAGAAACAAAGTACAACTTTTTTCTTTTCTTTTGTTGTTCCTTCCCCATCATGAAGAGGAAAATAACAGATAACGATACCCTAATCCATAAAGGAAAAGAAAACAGAGGCAGATGATTAAGAAATGGCGTTAGTTGATATCAGAATCATCGAAATCATCTTGGAAGGTGTTGAAGAAATCCGCATCGGCGAGTTTGTTATCGGTGGTGATGACGCCCTCCGAGAAGATCTCCAGTGAGTCGACGTCGTCGACGTCCATAGCCATGGACGAAACCTGCTCATCAATCTCTCCGAACAAGTCCATTGGTCTCATGATCCTTTCTCTTCTCCAATTCCACCGTCAAATTAGGGTTTTATATCAACTTTAGAGAAAACGATGTCGTTTTAAAATTTATACATTCTAGTCCTGTGTTTTATAAATTTTTTATTTGGTCCTTTCAAATAAATTTTAATATTTTAACAAATTATTATTTAATATTTTTTAGCTGATATGATTCAACTAAAAATTAATATATTTTGCAACATTTTAGTAAATCAAATTAATTATAATAATAAAAATAAATATTTGTGAGAAATTAAAGACTAAAATTTTGTAGTTCCAAGAGAATAAATATAGTAATTAAAATAAATTATTTTGGGGTGATCAATTAAGAAGAGCTTTTACGTTTATAATTTAAGAAATCTCTTTTTTTTTTTAAGTGTAGTGCTTGTAATTTTTTAGTCATAAAAATATGATGGAAGGATTGAAAAGGGGAAGAATGAACTTTATTTAAAATAGATATTTAAAAATATTTTTTTTTAATCTTTTCTCCATCTAATTTTTTGTAATTTGTTATATATATAAGTCTCTTAGTCAAAAGGTTAGTTAAAAAATAAGTTTAAATTCTTGCAAATTTTTATAGGTATGACAATGACATTTTTTTTACTTTTGTAACCTTTTAAGTATTGTTAAGAAATGTTTAGCTTAAAAAATGACGAGGTCATGTAAAATTTAGTCAAGTAAGTTATAAATCCTATTTATTTCAAACTTTAATGTCAAAGTGAAAATGTAAGAGTAGAATAAAGTAAATTTATGTGTAAGCTAATCTTAAAAGAGTGAAATAAGGGTGATTCTATTGTCCTTCCTTTTGCTACCAAAAGTAATAGAATTATAAAAGTAAAATTATTGAATAAGAAGATTGTAAATCAATAAAGATTATTGATTATATTTTGTATTAAATTGATAGATAGGATTGAAATAGAAAAAGAAAAAAACCAGATAAATAACTTATGTTTGTTGTTAGTAATAAAAGGTACAAAAGTAAATTGTTCTCTTTATATATTTGTACCGTTGAGTCTGAGTAATATGAGTTCTTGGTTTCATGGTTAGTGGTTCCTTACATACATAGGAGTTACAACATTGTTAATATTATATTGTAAGTATAGAGTATCAAGAACATTACAAAAGCATGTAAAAAAAATTATTGATTATGGCACTCTAGAAGATTAACAACCCACATTATTCATCATGTGTTATTAATTATGCATCGTCAAAGAAGATGAAATATCATTCAGAGAAGACAAAAATTGGAGAAGAAATGCTACTTTGTATCATACCCTAGCATCATTCTTGTTCTATCTCTAGTTATTAACCATTAGAATCATTATGAATAATTCTTTGTACATTGATTTTCATCTGTAACCACAAGAGAAGATAAAATATGGTTGATAGAAGACGAAAAGTAGAGAAGATGTAAAAAATGTTACTTTCTACTTCGATTTTTACACTCTTACTTGTTAGGAAAGACTAAACTTCACTTTCTATTACTTTTATACAATTATTTGTTAAAAAATATTAAATTTCAGTTTCCATAACTTTACCTTTTTTAACTTCTGTATTTATTGATTACTTGATCAATTGGTCTATGTAAGTAAATCATGTAATAGCATGGCTCCTTTTATAATAGTAATAAATTTCATTCAACATTAACATGAAATATCATCATGTTTTCAATCATGTAATAAAAAATCAATCTTATTAACAAAATAACCAATCAATAAGGCAAAAATTTCGAACAATAAGAGCGACTAATTAATCCAAAAAATATATATTAAGCAAAAAGGCAATAAGGTATCATGAGTCTAACGGTAATCCAATATATCATAACAACACACTTAAATTCACTTAGTCAAGTAATTTGCATATTTATGAGTTTTTTTTTTCAACTTCATTCAAATATAACGCTGTAAAATTCATCATAATCAACATTCATCTTAATCATATCATGTCTTATAGAAATCATAAATGCATAATAAATATGAATTAATAGTCACAAATTATGTAATTATGTTTATTGTAGACTCATTGTAACATGTGTATCTTATAAGAACTTCACTATAGATATCTTTCTATACTTACTTTGCACTTTATATGAGTTTCATATGGACCAAAATACTTGAATTTTCCCTCTTTAATAAATGTTAATTAGATACACCTTCTAAATAAATAAGTTTCACTTAACCTACTCTTACTTTTCACTTTATCTGTCTTATTTTTTGTTTTCTTCTAAATACGTAATTTTTTATTATATTTTTCATGACTTCACATTTCTTTACTTGTTGTATTATGTTATTTTAAATAATTTGAAAGTGTGATTTACCTTAAAACATCTACCTAACTATGCCTTCTTATATTCCTACTTCCATTGAATTAATGAAGAGATATGTTTTACAACTCTTTCAAGTATTAATCAAACTTACTATCAAAATTAACGGTATTATATTTTAACTTCGTTATTTCATTAACTCTTGAAAGTGTCATTCTCTTCTAAAAACTGTTGCTAAGGCAACCATAATTTCTAACACCTAATCATTGTATACACTAAGGAAAGTTACTTTTGCTAGCTAGTATAAATTACTCTTTGTTTTGTCTTTTTCTTACTTTATGAGTATAGAACACTATTCTATGCAACAAACATTATTTGTGAAAAAATTTAAAGTTTATTACTTTTTTATTCTCTTTTCATTTTCTTATTCCATTTTTTTATTCTCAATAAATAGTTAATATGACAAGTTATATTAAAAAAGTTGTTCAAGCACCAAGATATTAACTTTATGTTAATCTTTATCTTTGAATAAATAAATGCATACAGTAATATTGGGAGTTGAGATTGGAGATAGTGGATAATTGTCCTTTATGCATAAATACTAATATAATATTAGGAGTTGAATTTTATCATTGTTTTTTATTGATTATTATACAAATAGTATATAAGACTTCTAAAGTAGTTTTGAAGTATATTAAATTTTTTAAAATTATCAATTTAAAAAATAAAATAAATATTCATAATTACATACATGCTAATGAAAATATTTTTTTTCTCTTTTTTTTATTTATTTCTTTTGTTTTCATTCTTTTTTCTTTCTTTCTCTTTCTTCTTTTTACAAACTTTTTTCATTTTTTCTTTTTCACTTTTTTTCTCTTTCTTCTTCTTCATAAAAAAAATGACTTTGTAACATTCTTATTTTCTTTTTTTTCTTAAAATATAATAATTTATGTCGAGATAAAGAAAAATAGAGAAAATTTCAATTTAATCTTCATACAAAAATTTTACAATTTACTTTAACGTGGTACAAAACAATAATCGTATGATACAAATAAACATTGACTATATATATATATATATATATATATATATATATATATATATATAGAGTCAAATGAAGTTACACTTTAATATTAAAAAACATGTACATTAGATATCAATTAAAAATAAGACTTTGATATGTACAAGTCATTACCTAAAATACATTAGGATTTGAAATTACATAATTACAAAATCTAAGTCCCCTAATGAGTAGTATGGAGCCACACCAAAAATACTAAAGGTATGATCATAGTCATCATTGTCAAACCAACCTTTTATTTCTTCTAACTTTTCCAGAGTTAGGTTCTCATCATAAAGGTCTCTGGTATCAGCGACAACCTCTGTGCCAGTGATCTGATTTTGGGTGAAAGTGTCTAGTCTTCCTATCTGATCATTGATAACTCATATTTTGTACTCACATTTATAGTCTTATTATATCTTCCAAAATACATTTTCCTTCTTTATTTTTTTCATTTAACATATTTTTGCATTTCTTGCATTAAATTAGAGTTTTTATAAATACTTATTATCTTTACTTTATATTTCATATTTTCTCTATTCTGACCTTTGTCGAGCGACTCGTAACCGTCCACGTTGTATCCATGAGGTGGGGGTAATCAGTGACCATCCATGGTGTGAATATGTGATCACAGTGCTATAGTTGAATGGCTACGTGCAGTGAGCGCACATGTGTGTAAAATGTTTTGGTGTCATAAGTGCATCAGTTATGAATTGAAATGACACACTTAAGAGTGTTGTTTGTGATTGATTATACTTATATGAAATATGTTATAAACTATGTGAAGGGTGATTGAGGTGAGTCTTTATGCTTGTGTGTATTGGATAGTGTAGAGTACTCACCTTTACATTTATTTTACATGTGACTAAGACGATCAACACTGGGCTTATGAAGGGGTGGATGAAACTGCTGTAGGACTTAGGAATTTATTCTGAAAAGTGATGTATTAATTAAGTCCTGTAGTAGTTATTGATTCAAATTGTAATTCACTCTTATTTTGAAATACTTTGTCGAATTATGTTTTGAAAACTATCTGAATGAAAATTTTTATTGTTTCTGTATTTACGAAATTCATTTATTTTGGAAAATAAAATTAAGGTGTTACAACAACAACAGACTAGCCAAGCAAGTAATGGCTATAGACAACCCTCTATGAGGCAACAACAAACACAACAAAATTTTGAGCTTTCGTTAGAGGATTTGGTCAAAGAAATGGCCAAGAGCAATATGTAATTCCAACAGAATGTCAATGCCTCCATTCAAGACCAGTAGACACAGATTGGCCAAATTGCTACCACTTTAAACCAATTCAAGTTCCAAGATTCTGGACAACTCCTTTCTCAACTAGAGTTTAATCCCAGAAACGTGAGTGCCATAATATTGAGGAATGGGAAAGAGTTGTTAGGCAACTAGAAAGATAAAGAGGTACAAGATGATGTGAAGGCAGAGAAGCAGCAAAACACGGAGCAACAAACTGCCCCTAGCAGTTCAAAAATTGTGCAGAAACCACCCCTTCCCTTTTCGAACAGAGTGGCCAAGTCAAGGCCACCAACAGACTTTGACAAGGAGCTTTTTGAGACATTCAAAAGAGTAGAAGTGAATATTCCACTGCTGGTTGCAATAAAATAAATTCTAAAATATGCAAAGTTCCTTAAAGAGTTGTGCACTAACAAGAGGAG